TTTTTTACAAAGTCTATTGTTTCTAACTGAAGCTCTTGCAGAATTCCCTGGCATTATTTTTGCTAGTATTGAGATAATTATGGTGGTTCTTTTCTGGATTGTGAACCACCATGTGGACAATAACGATTTTACAAAGGCTTACGTCACCGTCCTTATGTGTCCCCTTTCATCGTCGTCCTTTATGAAACTGTGGACCGTAACAAACAACGTAGCAGGAGCACCTCTAACACAAGACACTTATAGTGATATGTAAGTATAGAACTCGATATTTGCTTTTCACAACGCTCTTACCGTAATCTATTGCAGAAGCTACTTTGTCAACAACATGTATGGAGCGCTAATTACGGGCAGCCAGCTATACGTTTTGATGGGATCCGTTGGGTTCACACTTCTTCTCATCGCCACTGTTGTGCAACAACGAAGATGTCATGAGACTGAGGATACATGGTTTGGCATTTGAGATAATTTAATCAGTTTTTAGATGTCAAATGGAATAGATTATACTGATCTAGGCTGTCGTTGACAAAATTCCGTAATTGGGTAATGTTGAAAATGCATTGTTCTTCTATGCTTATGAGATGAGGGCTTTAGACGTCGGAATGGGGTCTTTTATTATTTATCAACTCGAAAGCAGTTTTGCAGTGTAAGTAAGAGACGTCTTCTTAATCTACATAAGGCGAAACAAAATTTTGGTCCTCGAATAAATTGCTTAAGCGTAGGGTGTCCCAAAAGCTGTGTACAAAGTTTAATAATGGCAATTCTTTGTTTTAGAATAGAGCTGGGTTTAATTAGACTGCACCTAACTGCGATCTTTACCTCTCTTCCTTACACTAGGACTACTGCAAATTTAGCAGCTTTACAATAGTTGATTGTAATTGATGAAACCATGTTCTATAATAAGTTTAGAGTATTTACAGTTAGTTTGTCTGCCTTTGTGTGTATGAGTGCGTTTGTTGTGTGTGTAAATATGTTATGTGTCTAGTTTCTTGTCACGCAACTTTTTTTCCCTTTGAAGATCAAAGAGCAGCTATAAATTATAATCATGTTAGCTGCACACTAAAGCATGACTAGTTTTCCTGTGGGAAAGTGATTTGGTTGTTCGTTTTGTATGGTTACGAAAGGCTCAGCAGTATGTAGGCTCTCTTACTCTTCTAAGTCTTTTATTTTAAGAAAGCTCAAAGGTAAGAAAAAAACTTTCACGTTTTTAGCAGAGAGACCCATGTGATAACTTTGTTTTGAGTCAGAGAGAACTGCTTTGTTAGAATGTCGTATTTTAAAATTAATTTTCCGCGACACGTACCTGTGCGAGGCTCTTTGGAAGAGAAAAGAAACACTGTATTTAATACACTGCACGAATGTAAATATCATTAAATCAAGTAGGTTCTTCCATCTAAGCTACGGTAGGTTCCAGCGCTAAAGGACCTACAACTTTATATTGTGCACTGCTATTTGTTTCATACTTCCTTTGAAATATATAATTAGGATAAAAAAAATTCACACAGATAAGGATTATTAACAAGCAAACAGTGAGCAGTTTCTGACCCTCCCTAGTTCTTCGCTAATGAAGCGTACGAAAATGATGGTGTCCTACGCAGTTTTTTCTAGAAGCAGATAAAGTGGAAATACTGGATGCGAATCTGCAAGCGCCTGGCGGATGAGAGCTGATTTTTTGGGACTTTTACTCATATTGACCTTCAAAAAGCAGTAATGCATATGTTCTAAACATGCACCGTACAATTCAGTTTAAGGTATCAAAAAAGAGTAAACATTTTTAGAAATCTAATGTCTTAAAGGCCGACCTTTATGTTGTTTCCTAGATGTAACTAGGATTCCAGTAAAAAAACTGGTAAACGTACTTTGATTCCTGTCTTTTTCCAATGATAGCATCATGTTGAAGTAAAAGCTCTGTTAATCCTTGGTGGTTTAGGGTTGGATTTTGTACAATACAGTTCGTCGCATTGAGTCTCGGAGTACTCAACCATTTCCTTGATCTGCCATATCATGGCTTGCCTGGATTCATGATCACTCTCACAACTATGCTAGCGAGCATCGTGCTTATCATCCTTGCCATTCTGGTAGGGGATTTCTCTTCATTTTCATTTGTTTCTTTTTTCAAAGTTCTTCGACCGTTATGGAGAACT